GGAATTCTCCAGTGTGAGGTGTGCCTTTCATTTTTATTTTTTTTAAAACCATTGTTGTTCTAGATGCAGGGTTAAGATAAACAATCTAAAATGGCAACTAGTTATTTCTGTAAATATTTATGTGGAAGAAATTGCCACGAGCTTTACCGAGATAGTGTTTGCTTGTAATGATAAGCCAGACTTTCTTGCTTATCGTGATTTATTGTGAAAGAGCAGCATGCTGTTGGATGCTGCTAGGTCACTCCTGCTTCAGTCTTCCCCTAGTGCGAATGGAATAAACAATCAGCACATCAACAATTAACCGCGGCTTAAGGTTGTCTCTTGATTGGGGCTTGTTAAGAAGCAGCAACAAACCGTGTTCTGAAGTACAGACACATAGAAAAGCCAGACTTCCTGATCTGTTTACTCTGCTTGTGCCTGGGGCTGTGTGAATGCAACCAGTGTGTTCAAACATATTGTGTGTGCCTGTTTTAGTGGTGTATAAATAATGTTTCAAAATAAATAAATAATGTTCTGTTAATTGAATCGTGCATACTGAAATTATCCATGGATGAAATATATCCATGTGATATGTATTGAAATTCATGAAATCTCGACCCAGAAATGATTTAGGTCAGGTAAAAAAATAAAGCAGTTCGTCCATTTCACTTAAGAGAAATAGGAAATTGGGGAATATTAAGCTCTTTTTGAGATTCATACACACATTTTCTCAAGATTACTGTATAATGTTAGAAGGAACTGACTTTTTTTTATAAAAAAAAAATAACAGCCTTATTTGGCGTTCTTAAACTAGGATTTAGTAGATGGGGGCAGGAAGAGAGAATTTGAAAATGAATGAAAACATGCAGGAAATATGTTTCTCAAATTATTATAGTGAAGTTAAGCGCAGACTACAGATTTTCTAATGGAGTGATATAAGAGACTGAAGCTATGCATCAGGCACTCTGTTGTTTATGAGTTGTTTTGTCATTAACTCACTTTTAATAGCCTCTTCTTAAATAAGTAAGTAAGTAAGTAAGTAAGTAAATAGATGTTTTCTTCCCCCATGGTACACACCACTGCACATGCTCCCCCAGAACCCTTCCTTGGTCCCTGCCAGGTCCTGTCCTCTTCTCCCCAAATGGAACTTAGGCTTGAAGGAAGCCTTTTGTACATGCCTGTACATGTTTGCATGGCTGTGCATGTGCAACTGTGGAGCAGGCAAATGTGCCCATGGGTCAAAAAAGTTGGCAAACTCTGTCCTACTATTTTCAGACTTCTTCCCCTCCCCCTGAGCTTTGCAAATCTTTGTTGAGCACATTATGTGAAAGTAAGAACTATGAGCCAGTGACAAGAATAACATAAAACCTCTTAGAATAAACCCTGGAGTAGTTATTAAGTTATAACGTCAAACCAGACGCATTTTGTGCAGTGTCAAAAAATTGGTGGCAGTGTGAAATAAGTTTTTGTGCAGTTGGGCATATGAGATTTAATAAGGAGCTAGGTAGTTTCTTTAAAAAAATAGATAGCTGAGAAAAGATAAAAAGAAATAGAAAATGAAAATGAATACTGGTTCATTTGAAATCTTCATAAGCTTATATAAATAGTATATTATGGCTCTAACTACTTGACTAGTCAAGCCATTTATGGACTTTGGCATTTATTGAACTCTGTTTTAACACTGTATGTAAGTATGCAGCTGTTACATACCAGCACAAAGCAAACACAAAACTGAATATTACACAGTTGTGCCATGGTACCTCCTTTCACATTGTGCTGAGTATGTTTCAATTTATTTGTTTCATGCTGATCAGACTGTCAACACCTGGGATTGAGTGTTTTGAGTTGTTATGCTTGCAAGCCTCTGAAGAAAATCCCTTAAAGCACAACTGCTGTCTTGCCGTGGCCATATTTTTGGTCCTCTGCTCACATATTTTAATCTACAGAAGCACTGATGCCCTGGGATCCCATTTGATGAGTGGTGGCATATTGTGATAGATGCAGATGTTCAGTTTCTGAATCAACTGAGAGTTTGTTTCCGTTGATGGACTTCAAGGTGACATTTGTGTAGGTGAGATGTTCAGCAACAGCACTGTGAAGCTTAGCTGCCAGAAGAAGGACCGTGAGCACTGTGACATTTCTGTGTGGATCAGATAATGCAAGAAAGTGAAACAAATGGAACAGTGTCATCATCTGTGAACATCACCTCCATTCCTAGAGTAGGGAATCTCCCCTACTCTAATGAAAGTTCGGTCAGATCAAGTTTTGCAAATAACACCTTGTGAACTTCCTCCTGGTTTACTGAAGGTTTCAAAAGGCTTGCCTTTGAGCAGCAGATCAGAATCAACTTCAAAACGTTTATTCAAGAACTCAACAAGAGAGTCAACCACTTCATTATAGACGGCACCAACGTCTCTCCTATCAGATACACATATGGTTGTATTCCTTGTTTGTGTGCTTTCTCATCAGCTGAATTCCTTTCAGCATCGCAGTTCCATATGCCTGTGTAATAGCTTAATCCTTGAAAGCATTGATGCACCCACCAATCAAATGCTGTGCTTTCAATGCCAAGCATTTTGATTTTGTTGATGTAGTCAGCTAGGATTCACCCTGAGTATCATAAAGAAGCTATATTTTTCCATGGAGTCAAGAGAAGGCATGCAAGGAGCTTCAGCAAACTATGTAACAATGAGCTTACAAACTTTAGAAATTACAAAGATCTTCTCTCTTATCCCCCTTTTCCTCATCAGTTCTTTTAGATAGTATATACAAAACATTGTTACAATCCACTTAAGATCTTATTGTCAAAGGCGAGGTAAGAGAAGTTATGAGAGGCTAAAGAGTTTTCCAGTTTTGACAAATTCTAGAAGGAATTTGGCGTGTGTTTCTCCTGGGAACCTGCCATTATGCACAAGTAAATTTGCATTCACAAGGGGCGCAGAGGGGAACTGCCGAAGATCCTGAGGAACATGCATGATAAGAAGTTCATAGAGAACTCGGGACACAAGCCCATGACACTGACCAATAGATGGACTGCTCTGCACAAATTAAGGTGGTGCATTTTGTAGTGTGACCAGCCACTATTTACGCAAAGTATTTTCTTTTAAGTTTTCAAAAGGTGGGGAGGAGGCAGGAGCTCTAGGGCCCAACAGCTCAGGAGTTGATCCTCATGGATGACAACACCATGCTGAGGAGCTGCAAAAATTGTGGGGGGATGCCTTGTGAACAAAGTTAGAAATGTTTGAAATTTTGAAATGTATGAATTTTTCAAGTCTTTATAGCTCCTGATCTTTTTCAGTAGTCTTGTCCTACTTTCAGCCACCAATGATGTCATCATGCTTGTATATTCATCCTACTAGACAGAGTAGATTGTGGATTAATTTGGCTGCTTATTTGATTTTCCCTTCCTGGAAATGTCGACATTTCAGGGCTCAATTTGGGTTATGGACTCAGGACAAAGATCTCACAAATTCTTAAGACAGCTACTGGATAAGGTTACACTTAAAGTAATACAGTATTGAACTGCAGGGTGCTTTTATGGGATATCTAGAGTATTCTGCTGAGCTAGGTTCTCACAATTTGCATAGAGATGCATTGACATTTTATTTAATTATCTCGGGTTAGATTATATTTGTCTAGCTAGATTCAGTATCCATTTAGGAGGATTGAATAAATTCTATAGTCTATCTCTACAGATTGAGTCGAAGGCAGATGTCAAGTCTACGAAGGCCACAAAGAGTCTGCTCTTATACGCTTTTGCATATTTAGCTACCAGGGTCTGTAGTACCATACAGTGACCTATCGTATTGTGGCCCTTTCTAAATCCTGCCTGTTCCTGGTTGAACAGGTTAGAATGGTCCGCCCAATCTACCAACTTGTTTAATAGGTACCGGGTATAAAGTTTGTATGCGATGTCCAGAAGGCTTATAGGGCGGTAGTTTGCTGGATCTTGAATGTCTCCCTTCTTATAGATAGGGACTACCACACTTAGTTTCCAATTTGCTGGGATTTTACATGTGTTGTTCATTGCCGTAAAAAGTTTGGCCAAAAAGATGGCCCACCATTGGGCATTTAATTTAAAAACCTCAGGGGGGATCATGTCCTCGCCAGGAGCTTTGCCATTTTTTAAAGTTTTAATTAGCTGTAGGCACTCTGATTCCGTAACAGGATCCCAACTAACTAGATGCTCATTCTTCAATGGGAGGAGCGGACTCAAATTAGCAGTATTTGAGAGTGTGTATAGCTTGAGAAAGTGTTGGTACCACACATCGGATGGAATACTGCTGTTTACAATTTTTCCTTTGGATGAGACTCCCTGTGCTACTATTGCCCAGAATTTTCTATCGTCTCGCGATTTAATCGCCATATCAAGTGCCTCCCATTGTTTCTTCCTGTAAAGGGATTTCTTGAGTTTTAAGGTGTATTTATAGTGAGAGCGCCATCTGTGGAAATTTACCATAGATGACAAAGTCCTCTCCTGTTTTACCTTATTTTGTTGTTTCCTAAGCAGGGATCTTAGCTTCCGGCAGTCTTTGTCAAACCAGGCCCCCGATTTGTTATGTTGTATGGGAGGCCTGGTGTTTATAAGAAATGGGAAAAGGGACTCTGAGACCCGCTGATATAGTGAAAAAGGATCAAAGTTAGGTAAAAGACACTGGTCTCTCAGAACCAATAGATCTGGAGAGTGCAGGTGTTGATTAATTTTAAGCTCCAGCTCGCTGTTCCATTTACGCCTGCGTGGGGCCGGTGCTTGAGGAGGGGCTGCACAATGTAGATGTTGTAATCCCCTGATTCAAGGGGAGTTAGTGAGATTGCTCTAGGAAGATGGTCGCTCTCAGTTCTATTAAAAGTGCTGAGACCCTGTACCCTCTCCAAAATTGTTGGAGAGACCAGGATATGGTCAATCACACTTGCACCACGAGGGCCGATAAAGAGAAGAAACCTCCTGACCTGTCCATGTAAGTACCATGCAGGTTGTACAGATTATGCTTAAAAGCAATCTCCAGTAATGTAATACCTGCCTTGTTCAAGACCTTTTCATCAGAACTCCAAGGGATAAGCCAGTCTGCCTCTGGTAGAAACTGGGTTTTGGAGCCATACGAATTGATGTCGCTGCCTATCCTGGCATTAAAGTCACCTGCCAGCAGGATGTTCCAGTCAGGGAATTCTATTTTGGCCTTCTCCAAGCATGACTCCAAATCTTCCCAGATTTGTACTGTCTGAGAGGAAGTACACACGGGGGATATAGACGTTGAAACATAGAAGATCTCCTCCTGTGTTATTGGAGATAAGTAAAATCTGAAAATTGTTGTTCTTCATCCACTGCAGTTGTCGCACCCTGTACCCTTGCTCTATGGGAATAAAAGTGACCAAACCGCCGCTAGGTCGGCCACGGTTATTTAGTTTTTTCGCAGGGGTAGCAAAAGCCGCATAGCCCTGTAAGTAAGGGGGATGAGAGTCTAGGCACCAGGTCTCTTGTAGACAAATAATCTGGAATTTTGAGAGAAAATCCAGAAAATCAGCAGCGCCCTGCTTAGACAGCCAGCCCGCCACATTCCACGATAAGATGTGAAAATATGGTGGTGAGGGGAACAAAGGTAGACTTCTCCGTTTGTTCTTTAGGATGATGGAATGAATGTTTTTGTAGAGGTGGAGTGAGCTGTTGGTATCCTTTCTGGTAGGTACTAACCTAGTGAGTTTTGTTTCACTGGCGTGGTGTCCCCTCGCTGTATCTGTCTTTCAGTCCTCCACCTGAATGCCATCTAAGGATCCTGAGGCATCCACAAAGATTGAACCGTTCCTACTCATCGGCATGGCAAGGTCTACCTGGTGTGTTGTTGTTTGAGGTGTTAAGGGTTGTGTGGGAGAACCCACTTCTTCGGGGGACAGGAACCGGCACTGCGTCCAGTCTTCGTTGGATAAGGGCTTTGTTGTGTTAGTAGCAAAATTAAATTCCAAAGGAGCAGAAAAACCTTGGCGGAATAAGGATTTTTTAATGGTTTGTAACCTAGCTATTAACGCATCCTGGGACTGTTGAATTTGCTCAAGGGAGGCTAGAAAGAGCATCTCCTTTTCATTTAAGATATCTTTTTTGGGTTCATTGGAAGGGAGTAAAGTTTTTTGGAGCTTAGCCTTCTGTTTGGAAATTTTGACTGCCTCCGGTTGACCTTGTTTGCAGTTTTCAGAAGCCATTTCCAATTCTGTGCGCGGACTAGTCGGCTTACGTGTTCCTAAGAGGGATGGTGGAACGCCGGACTCTTCAAAAAGGCGGGTCACCAACAGGCCAGCCCTCTGGAGCCTGTCCCTCTTGTCCATGATTTGTTTAGTTACCGACCAGTCCTTAAAGGTCACCACAACTCTGTTTTGGGCCATATCAAAAGGAAGAAATTTAACGCTGACAATATTTCCTGCTGGTATAAGGCCTCTGATGACTAAGTCAATTTTCTTAAGTAAATAAATTCTCTGTTGTGCAAGCGTGGAAAGGCCTCCATGCTTGAAGAGAGGGAGGAGGACTAATTTATGTTTAATTAAAATTAAGTTCTGGCTCTTTTGTACTCCCTTCTGGGGAGTTTCTTGCTTTGGATCTGGAGTTTCCTTTAATTTTCCACTAGAGGGCAGCGATTGTTTTGCTAGCCTTGGAGGGCTAGCCACCTGATGTATATTTAAAATGTTTGGGCTTTGGCTCTTATTTGGCGTTGTTTTGTTGGAGTTCTTTGTGCTTGAGTTCTCCAGAATCTTGAATAACTTTGAGAAATTCACTTTCCCAGTCCGAGAGGGCAGCTTAGCCTTTCGACCCATTTTCACATTCTTCGGCTTCTTCTTATGCATTGGGCTCTTTCCCTTTAAGGAAGGTTTCCTAGTGGCCAGTACTTTTCCTTGGGCTAGTTTGGCTCTGCTTGTTTTCCTTTCTTTGGTGTTGGACTGGGTTTTATTTCCATTTGGCTTGTTGATGTCTTCTTTGTGAAAGTGGCAATCCTCTTTCCTCCTGATTAGTTCAATCAGGGAGGTGAGCAAACCCAAACATTCTGAAAGAAAGTTTTTAATAGGCCCCAGTTCTTTAATTAGCTGAGTTTGATGTTCTTCCAACAGATCTTTGTACAGCCCTGTCATTATGTAATTATAGCTGCCCAGGTCTGGATGTCGAGCTCTTGTGTCGTTTAGCCACTCCTCCACCTCTGTCGGGGCAGGGGACCCCCCCTTTCCTCTAAGCATAGGTTGATGGGTTGATTCTTTTGACTTGGTTTCTGGGTCTCCCAGCTGAGGCTCCTGTTCTGGTCGGGCCTCAAGGGCTGTACTTTCTGTAGTTGCCTGTGCCAACTCGGTTGCCAGGTCAACTCCTTTTCCTCCTCCTCCCTCTGCTTCCATGCCCCTTCTGAACGAGATACGGTCGACAGACCATTCGTGCGGATGCAGGCTCTCTATGTTTTTATTTCTTTTCGCTTCCTCTGCTTTTGGTTTAAAATAGTATGGAATTTTTGCCTGCTTTTTCTTTGGGGCAGGGGGTTCAACAGCTTGTGCTTGAGCTAGAGGGATCCCCAGTTCTTTATAATTCTGTCTTGTAAGAACCATTTAAGTTATCTTCTCTAGCCGTGTGCTAGGGCCTTATTCAACAGGAGCTCAAAGGTTGTAATTAGCCTCGAATAGGGGAGGAAAGGGGAGGATTTAAGAAATACCTCCTGGTAACTCCCGGATTCTTTTATCAGGCTAAAACTTTGATTTTTTCTGAATGTCTTTCTGTATTATTGTAATTATTCTGTAAAAGCTCCTACTCACTCTGTTGAGGCTCACAGGAGACTTACTGCCGGCGCCATCTTCGCTTTGTCCATATAATTAGCTGTGCCGAATAAATTCAAACACAATATGGATGAAGTACTTTGGGAAAGTGTAAGCTGAGGTTTATATTCTGCTATTTGACACATGACTGAAAACATACATTGCTGCTTTACATGGAGTGTCTGTAATCTCTTGGGAATGCTTTATTTGTTTCTAGATTGGGCAAATGCCTAAATTCAAATGTGACTAATTTTATCATCTGAAAGTATCTGACCTTAAAATTCTATTACCCTGCTCTGTTATGAGTTCTCTTGCTTGATTTAGGAGAGTAACCTTTCTTGTAAAGTTGCCAATAATTTTTTTTTGTCAATTTACCACCACCATTCTTCTGTAGTGACTTCTGATGGTCAGATATTGAGGGGAAATAATAAACCTGGCTGCAAAGCCCAGTCCATGGAAAGGCAAAAGTTTAGTGCTAAGCATAGTAATAGTGAGAAAATTTGATTCAGTTTGCACATTTATTTTTATTTTTGTTCATTAAATTTGTATACCATCCTTCACCCAAAGATGTCAGAGTGGTTCAAACTATAAAAATACAAAATAAAAACACAAAATACATCATAAAAATAAGAACCAGAACAAAACAAACCAATACTCCCCCAACACATTTAAAAGGACATAGAATGTTAATTAGCCCAAGGCTTGGTTGAAGAGGAACATTTTTTCCTGGTGCCTAAAGATGTATAGTGATGGCACCAGGTGAGCATCCCACAAATGGGGAGCCACTGCAGAAAAGGCCTGCTCTCATGTTGCTATCCTCTGGACCTCTCATGGAGGAGGCACACCTAGAAGGGTCTCTCAGGATCATATAGGGAGAGGCATTCCTTGAGGTATTGCAGCCCTGAACCGTTTTAAGGCTTTATAGGTCAAAACCAGCAGTTTGAATTGGGTCCAGAAACTAATTGGCAGCCAGTGCAGTCGGGCACTCTGCACCACTGAGACTACCTGAGCCTCAAGCGACAGCAAAGGACCCCCAAACTACATACCCACTCCTTCAGAGGCAGTGTAATCTCATCAACAGCAGGCAACCTCTCATCCATCCAATCTAGGGAACCACCCGCTAACAGTGCCCCAGTCTTATCTGGATTGAGCTTCAGTTTGTTGGCTCTCCTCAAGTCCATTATTTCGGCAAGACAGTAATGGTCCAGCACATCCACTGCCTCACCTCCAGATGTAAAGAAGAAGTTGAGCTGTGTGTCATCAGCATTTTGCTGAGAATGTACTCCAGAACTCCGAGTGACCTCACTCGGTGGTTTCATGTAGATGTTAAACAGCACAGGGGATAAAATCAAACCCAACCCTGATGAACCCCACAGTGAAGGTTCAACGGGGCTGTAGAACACTCTCCAAGCATCCCCTGGAAACGTCCACCCAAGTCATCAGTGTATTTCTTTTTTAGTTTATCAAAACACGTCTGTATCCTAGCACATTTTAAAGTGTCTTTCCAAGTACTTGATAAGCTGTTGGCTTTCTATTTTTAGGAATTTTGTTTCATATTATAAGTAAATATATCACATCCCACTAGTATACTGTAACTGCCTACGGATACGTGCTTTCATGAAGATTTACTAAACAAATACGTGCCCTGATTTACAGTGGATACATTTACATATATTATCAAACTTCTGTCAGTAGGGTTGGTTTCTAGATGTTATAGTTTTGCCTAGGGAGGGACCCTGTGTGGGTTACATAAAGTTTACCTTTATTAAGGAAAAATTCAAATGATCTAGACTCATATCTATACAAAAAAGGGGTGGGGGCTAAGGACGTTGAACGGAATACTTATTTTCTGTAATTTCTAGATGTTTTTGTTTGGCTCTAGGATTGGCAACTGTAATTGAAGAGGACATATATATGCATTTTTATTTCCTTTGTTAAGAATACTGTACTGGAGCTGAAAAAAAATGCCCTTGAATGCCTGGTGTTGCTTAAAATCTTGCTTGGGGTAATATTAATTATTAGTGCAAAACTAAATATATTAAAATGGCCCAGATGGGGTATTTATATATATATGAAATAATAGAATTGTTTCATTCTGTTTCCCTGTAAATTGGCAATTTTCTGGAATGTCAGAATTACAAATTTATAAACACTCTCCAAAGACTTCCATAATATAGTTAATGGTTTAGTTATCTTTTCATTTGTTATGTAAGTATTCTTATGTTTGTTTGTTTTTGTATGAAAATGTGCTTGAATTCACCCAGCACACCAAAGCATATAATTAAGCATACTTAAGCCAACTGATTCAGTGGTCTTAAGTATGCATAACTTCTGTGCTGGATTGTGACCCATCTGTTTAGCCAGTTAGCAAAATAATTAAGTAAATATGCAATAAGAATATAATACGGTTTACAGTTTGCTGTGGTGGAACCCTCTTGTTTTTCATATAAACATAGACACAGGGTGTGTTCACATGTCACACTGAACCATGGCTTAATGTGATGAATAAAAGTTAGGATGATCCCAGGTGAGCCTCAGGTTCACATGTTCTTCCTTCCCTCTTCTCCCGCAGACAGCAGGAAGATATCAGCAGCTTTTACTTTTCCCTAATATTAGCTTGTTGTGTTGAACTGTAGATCATAAACCCATAAACCACAAACACCGGTCAGTTTCAACACAAGCCAGCTTCAAACCATGAGTTATGAGTTTGTTAAACTACCTTGAATTTGTTAAACCATGACACCGATTTTCTTTTTCTACAAAAGTAGAAACCACTGAAGCCCACTTTGTGGTCATGCAGGACAAATGGAGAAGGGAAAGAGCTCTCTAAGCTTCTTCCAGTCAGTGCCCATCATATTAAACCATATTTTAGCATAATGTGATAGAGTGGTCTTGGGTATTCAGCTACACAAGGGTTAGGGTTTCAGGAAATTCAAGACCCCTTCTCATTTTCTGTAATGCTCAAAATGGAATATGTTGATGCTTCAGACTTCACAGGTGCACAAAATGCCACCGTCTTTAGCATCCCACCATGAAGTAGAGAAGGAGATGCACAATTCACTTTGGATATTGTGGAAAATATGAAAGTGTCAGTTGTGAAGTCATTGTACTCGCTTTTCCTCCATATTTCTTTTAATACATGAAACTGCTTATTGTTACTATAACTAACACATTATACTATGCAAGTATGTGCAGCTATATAGCACAGTATAGCTATATGTTTTATGCCCCTTTACATTATGGGGAAAATTTGCAGTAATTCGATAATGTGATTCTAGAACAGAAAATTGGTTAAGGGGGGAAACAGGAAAAATTACTAAGTCTTCCTTAACTGCAAGAGGGTATGCTAGATAGATAGATAGATAGATAGATAAGATGCTTGTGTTTAGATAGGCTTTTGCCAGGAGGTAGTAGTTATGATATTAGTTTACAATATTATAAATGGTATATTGAACACAAACAGGGAATCTCCTTTCTCAAAATACAAATATCATTAGTCATAATTAATGGGCAGCAGATTTTATGCAGCAGAGTATCTTGTTACATAGTCAGCACAATTAACTTGAACAATCTATTCTATGGGGAAATTATGAGGGCAGTTTTCAAATGGGCTTATTAAGGGGTCAGAGAAGTCGTGAAGGTGCCTTATCCGAAGTCAGACAGTTCATTCATCTCTCCCATTGTGGTCTACCCTGGCTGGCAGCAGACCTACAAGTTCTCAACCCTGCTACCCAAGACTCTAACTGAAGATGTTGCCAATTTATGAATTTTTAGAGAAATAGTTTAACATGTATATATAGCACTCCATCACAAGGATGCTATCATCCTGGCTAAAGTTGGGTGCTCCTGAAGTTCATAGAAGTTAATACCACTAACTTAGCTGTACAGTGACCTGCCCAACTGTAATTGCAGCTGTATCAGAAGGCACTTCTGATGAGTTTTAGCTGTTTCCTGGCCATAGTTTTGTGTTAGTGCTTATATTATCTCTCTAGATATAATAAATCACATGTCTTTATTATTCTGGCGTTTGAAATGGGACCTGCTGAATGCAGAACATGTTCTCTCCTATTGAACCACAGGGCCCTTTCACTATCCCCCTATTCAGAGAAACTGGGGTGTTTAGGTGGCGCTGTGGTTTAAACCACAGAGCCTAGGACTTGCCGATCAGAAGGTCGGCGGTTCAAATCCCCGCGATGGGGTGAGCTCCCATTGCTCGGTCCCAGCTCCTGCCAACCTAGCAGTTCGAAAGCATGTCAAGTGCAAGTAGATAAATAGGTACTGCTCTGGCAGGAAGGTAAACGGCGTTTCCGTGCGCTGCTCTGGTTTGCCAGAAGTGGCTTAGTCATGCTGGCCACATGACCCAGAAGCTGTATGCCGGCTCCCTCGGCCAATAAAGCGAGATGAGCGCCGCAACCCCAGAGTCGGTCACGACTGGACCTAATGGTCAGAGGTTAAAGATTGTCAAGGAAAGCAACACCTTTCACAAATCCCTGTTACAGATTATACAAGCGAACAGTGGGTTGGGAAGCTATATAATACCTGTTGTGTTTATGTGTGTTATATATATTTGATCTTCTTCTGGCCATAGCTTGTGGTAAAGCCTAAATTAGCTTTTGATCCAAACTAGTATTATAGACCGTATTGTACCGGTAATTCGTCCTTCCTATGTGTAGAAACTGCGAGAAAGCTTTTAAGTGATGGAAATATTTGAACTGCGAGCCAAATATTAACAACACTCCAAAAAAATAAGGATGCTATCTTCAAAGGATGCTCAGGAAGTGCTTTAAATTAGTTAGATATAAAAATGGACAAAGAGTCTCCTTTTCACATTTGGATACAGCTGAGTGAAAATCCAAAAGAATATAATCCTTCCATATTATTTATCAGTCTAGGTTGAAAGCCTTTCTTCAGTCTAAATAACATGCATTTGTAACAATAGCAATGTCCTGAAATGGGAGAAAAATCAAACAATAATAGTCAGGATTTCTTATATAAAAGTTATTTTTGTGGTGCAAGGATCAAAGTACCTGAGATGAATTAA